GCCTCACTGCTGTCTAACTCCCTCTCTGCCTCTGATGCAGAGCCCTCGTCTGAGCTTTCCTCAACCCCCAGGACTGGCCCATGTTCAACCCCAACCTCCTCACTGTCCGACTCTGCTGGCCACCGGCGGGCCACAATAATTCCTCAGCCAGCTGGTTGAGGAATTCTGAGAGTTGAAGTCCACAAATCTTAAAGTTGTCAAGGTTGGAGACCCCTGCTTTAGAACACGAGACCTTCCATACGTTAGTGTGGTGTGCAGCCTGTCTTTTTTTTTTTTTTTTTTAATTTCAAATGTGGCCTCTTTATCTGGGCTTTCTTCTTCCATCGCGTCAATACAATGCTTTGTATGTTTGGGTTTGTTCTTCAAGGTTGGCAACACAAGGCGAAGAGTGAATCAGTGTGATGGTTTGCTTCAAAAGTTCCACTGAACTTTTCCACATCCAAAGAGCAGAGTAACTTTCCCTTTATAATTCCCCCCTGCCCCAACCTTAGCTTTAATCTTGGTGTGACTTAACATTGCTTAAACTTAAGAGGGTGCCATGGCACAATGCCTTAAAGATGCTGCATTTGTCAGCCAGCAATGGTCGGCACTCCGGCGGTTCAAGCCCATGGCACCATGGGGTGGAGTGAGCTCCTGTCATTTGCCCCCAGCTCCTGCCCACCTAGAAGTTCAAAAGCATGTAAATTCACCCTTTCTAGATATTCTTAGCTTTACATCTATTTTCTTTTTAAGGACGTGTCCCCTTAATGCTTTGCTTGCCCTGGCCAACGACAAGCAAGCCACGCTTTGCTCCCAGGAGGTAACACCCCTCCCATTAGCATCTTTCCGTTTGGTTTCAGAGACTTTTAATCGGCCCACGACGTTCACCAGCCTTGCAGCCATGAGCAGCAATGCCTTCGGGGGACTTGGCAACCATGCCGTTAGTGAGTAAATTCTCCTTCGGCTCTTAACTACATCATGCTTTGGGGTTGGTTTAAGTAGCAAGGGTGATAGAACAGTAGGTCTGATTGATAATGGGGACATGGGATTGGCCAAGTAGCCCTTCTCTTAGAGCAGTGATGGCTAAACTTTTTGTCCTTGCATGCCCACTCCCATAATACAATGTGTGTGCCCTGCCCCCCTGAACATGCATCCCCCTGTGGCCCATTTTGGGCCTAGCAGCTTCCCTGAAGCTTCCTGGGACCAGAAATGGGGCATGGGGGGCATGCCGCACCTCCCCATGCCCCCCCATGCCCCCATGGATGCGCACATGTCCCCCGCCCCTCATGCATGCACATGTGTCTCCCACATGCACCCCACTCCCTTCACATGTGCAGCAGAGACCCGAGAATCTGCTGGCCAGCGGGAGGCGCACTTGTATGTGTGGTGGAGGTGAGCTGGGGTGACCGATCGCTCACTTGCCCGCAGAGTGGGCCCTGCATGCCAGCTGTGGCACACATGCCATAGGTTGCCTTAGTCTTAGAGGATAACAAACTTAATATTGCTATGAAGCCATTGGGATGGGCCATCCAGCAATTCAGCATAGTTTAGAATCACAAAGCTACACCCAACAGATTTAATTCTGAGCTTAGCTGGAAATTTCATTGAGGCTCTGTCCTACTTTACATTAAATGGAAAAAAGAAGGAAGGAGGGAGGAGGGAGGGAGGGAGGGAGGGAGGGAAGGAAGGAAGGAAGGAAGGAAGGAAGGAAGGAAGGAAGGAAGGAAGGAAGGAAGGATCTTTGTGATACGACCTGGGTTGAGACAGGTTGACTGGCTGAAAGTCACTCAACTGGATTTCATGCCTAATGGCAACCTAGAACTCACATTTGCCTGGTTTCTACACCAGCGCTTTAAGCAGTACAGCAGACCCACAAACTACCTTGAGTCGACCAGAAACAAAGATGAGATTTTTAAAAAAATCTTGCAAAAAATAAAACAAATATTAATTTGCTTACTATTATACTGTATATTGCTTTGGGCTTTAGTAAATGTATGTTTTTCTTTTGTATCTTCGTGTGACTGGCAGTTTAAATAGCATTTTAATGCTGTTTTACGCTGCTAAAAATCTCAGAAATTCACCATATAATGTTGAGGTCAATGATGAATTCTGAATGATCATGTGATCTAACACAAAAAACTCTCCTGTTCCTATGAAGACATCTTGAGTATATATTAGTATATTTGCTCAGACATTGTAAGAAGAATCTTATGCTAAATGGCTTTTGTAGAAGAGAAAGTCAAGTTAGGGGCAGATTGAGCCATTTACTTCAAGAGTAGTAGCTCCGCCAATAAATCTTAAAAGCTAATCTTCTAAAGACTAAACTGAAAGGTTCTTGCCACTCATAGTATTTCAATCAACCAATAAGTAGGACCTGCTCTTTGGAGTTGGAAAAAAAAATCACAAACCACTGTTGTCCATGTTGCCCTCGGTTGCAAAATATAGGCACAACTAGACAAAAAGAGTGATCCGAAAACAGAAAAGAATGATATTTTTATGAATGTTTATATTAAGCAGTGAAATTCATAAGATTTGATTGCATCTGGTAACAACGACAAGTCAATTGAATTGGGTTGAATGTATCCTATCACCTATTGAACTTATAAAGGACTGCTGGAAGGGAAGACCCTAAGTAATTTATCTCCAGTTTTAGGCTGATTATCTCGAAAACCCCAGAATAACATCTGTCCTTGACAAAAAGCATGCATTAAATGACCCCATATGTCTTATGAGATACCTTACCCATATTGATGGATTATATGCTGTCCAGTCATTGCTGATGCTTATTGACCACATAAATTACTGTTTCTCAACCTTGACCACTGTAATATGCATGGACTTCAATTCCCAGAAATCCTCAGCTATACCTCCATAGATTTTCTTCATAATAACCTGTTACCTCCATAACAACCTGTTACTTTTGGCCTTCTAGTAGTTTTGCTCATATTCCTTCCTGTTAATAACCCAATGGAACAAGCAAAGACAATACTACAGAAATAGAGACTGCATGGTTTTCATTATCAACCTTTATAAAAGGAAACATGGCTGGTCTTTTCCCTTCATTCAAAGTGCCTTCAAATCCAAAGCCTTTATAGGCAGTTAGCAAAAATTTTAAAGAAGAAACAGAGGAAAAGAACAAGGGCCTTAATTTTTTTAAAAAAATCAATGAATTGAAAAGAAAGAAATCATTATTAAGCATACACAACATTCCTGCTTGAATGAACAACAGGAATCAACCTGCATGTGGGCATGTCTGTTGACTTAGGAAGTTATGGATTTGGCCATTAGTATATGTACATTAGGGACATGGTGGCTCAGTGACTAAAATGCTGAACTTGTTGATCAGAAGGTCGACAGTTCAGTGGTTCGAATCCCTAGCGCCTCGTAATGGAGTGAGCTGCTGTTATTTGTCCTAGCTTCTGCCCAACCAGCAGTTCGAAAGCACATAAAAATTGCACGTAGAAAAATTTCCACTTTGGTGGGAAGGTAACAGCGTTCTGTGCACTTTCAGCATTTAGTCATGCCAGCCACATGACCACAGAGATGTCTTCGGACAGCGCTGGCTCTTCAGCTTAGATGAACACCACCCCTTAGAGCCAGAAACAACTAGCACACATGGGCGGGGCAACGTTTACCTTTATCTTTACTATATGCACATTATGAAGGTTTAGGGGCATGAAGGGAATCAAAAAAGCCAAGATGGAATCCTTGACCCCACAATCAAAGCCATGTGGGACACATGTAAAATAAAGAGGGCTTCAATCACGCAGTCCTGATTTTGTCCATTTTGAGTTTGTTTGACCCTTCCCTATAGATGCTCCTGCTTTTATTGACTATGTCCTAGTCTGCTCATGTGGGTTATCTTCTCTGTGGCTTTTAGATGCCACAACTATTGTTTAAGGATTGCCTTGTTTTGTCACAATGCAAGGAAGACTAAATATTTTCCTTAAACCAGTGGCATTCAATGTGTGGGCTCCTGAGGCTTCCAGGGACCCTTTCAGGGTGTTCCCCGTCCCCCAAGTCGAATAAATATGTAATGGTTTCTCAGTTTTAATTTCCAATGCAATCAATATTAATAGATATAACCCACATAAAGCCAAGCTCTGTAAGTTTCCTCAATCATTTTTTAAGAATGGAAAGGGTCCCGAAAACCAAAATATTTGAGAACTCGCTACCTTAAATTGTTGACTTGGTGAAAAAAATTGTCTTAAATTTGTTGATAATCCTGCAGTGAAGGAAAGGACACTTTGTTCTATCTAACTTTCCTTTCCCAAGTAATTTAAAAAACAACAACAACAGTTCAGATAGTCTTCCTTGTAGAGGCCCCATTACTTTATATGTACCTTGTAGATTGTTTTGACAAATTCAGAAACAAACAGGCTACAAATGTTTTTTATGCTGAGCTCATGCTTTGTGCTGGGTTCATTTCCCAATGAGTTTGGGATTGGTTTTGTGTCCTTTAATACTGCCTTAAGCTTCATTTGGATGCTCTTCCTGTTCAAAAAAGAAATAAAAACTTAGTGGTGGAGCCGCCTAAACGTCTCCCCCTGCCTTTCAACAGAGGGATTGCATCTCTTCCCCTTAAATGAGGTGCTAACGATGATCTATTAATCTCCTTTCCTTTTCCAGCTCCCCATAATAGGTATTCCTTTTAAACTCTTTTGAGTGCTGTTAAAATAAACAAAGTTGGGTTTGATCGGTAAGTACGGTCCACTGAGCATGTTGCTTTCTGTTTCCCCCCTCCCTCCCTCCTTCCCTCCCTCCCTCCCCTTCCACTTCACCATTTCAGCACCCAACGCTATGTATGGCCACAAGGATTGCCCCGGCATGCAAAGCTATAGCAACCCTCACGAGCCTTGGAATCGTCTGCACCGAACGCCTCCTTCGTTTCCGACTCCACCGCCCTGGCTGAAGCCAGGTGAGCAGGAACGCAGCGCGTCCGCTGCAGCTCATGAACGAGACAGAGATGTAGATAAAGGAGACGCTTCCCTTAGTAAAGATGACAAAGAAAGGTATGAAAAGAACACAGCGTGTATGAGCATCACAAGGGAGACTCCCGGATGGGGGAACCACGCCGAGTTTTAGTCCCTCTTTAAAAAGATACTTCACTTGTGGTTCCAGGGACCATCAATGGTCAGTGATGACACTATAAATTTTCAATAAAGGAGAAATATTTGTAGCTCAGGATTGAAATGAAGGGTCCTTGGTGCTCTCTGAGCATGGTTGTTTTCTTGCAGGCGTTTCATTACCCAAACTAGGTAACATTAATGCCTGTCACTGGCACTGATGATGTTACCCAGTTGGGTAATGAAACGTCTGCAAGAAAACATCCATGCTCAGAGAGCACCAAGGACCCCTCACCATAAATTATCCATGTATACCGGTATCTCTATCTCTGTCTCTGCCTTTCTCTCTATGGCCAAAATCTTGTAAAATTGTCAAGATTTTAGCCAGCATCTTTTGACATGCTTGCTTGAAATCTCACAAGCTTTTGATATTCCTGATGAAACTTCCTGCAAGATTTTACAGGGGAACCCTAACATCCTTTAAGATCTGGGGATTCGGAAATATTTGCCATTTTTTTAAAAAAAAATCTGCATTCAATTTTGATTTCCTTAAATATTGTTCTGGGAAGTTCCATTGACATGATGCTCAACGTGTTGGTAATGTCTGAGTTACATCATGGTCCTCAAAAGCTTTTTCATGATGACATGCTTTGCTTAAAAGAATGAGTTGGGGAACTACTGTTTAGAAATCAGCCCGGGAAACACGTAAATGTTTCAGATCTGACTTTCCATCTGATGCTTTCCTTTTAGATCTTCAAATTTCATTTTGCAGAACTTCGTCGCTACAAAATATTTGGAGTTGATACTAGATTAAGATTGCAACCTTAATGTGTCAGAGTTTGTTGCAGAAAAATCAAATCCAGAAAGCCCACACAGATAACTGATGCAGCAGGATTCGTTAACTTCTTTATATACATAAGAATAGATGGATAAATGTACAATACCAACAGGTGGTTCTTCCAAGTAAACACAAGGCAGGAGAGTTACAGGCAAACACAAGCAGGTAGTTTCATTTTAGCAGACAAGCCCAGACAGACTGCGTAAGTTTCCTTCTCAGAGCAGCAGACTGCTTAAGTTTCTGTTTCAATTCTCTGCACAGACTCAGATATGTTTAAGCTCCCATTGGCTGACTTAGTTGCTATGCCTATTCATTGGCTGACTTTGTTCCCTTGTCTCTCCCAATCATGAATATTTTAACAATCTGCTCACTGAACCCAAAATAGTAGTTAGCATCCATTGCATTTCATGCCATTTAAATACAGGTAGTCCTCGACTTACATCAGTTCATTTAGTGACCACTCAAAGTTACAACAGCACTGAAATATGTGACTTATGACCATTTTTCACACGCAGGCCTTTGCTGCATCCCCATGGTCACGTGATTTACATCTGGATGCTTGACAACTGCTTCATATTTATGACGGCTGCAGCATCCCGTGGTCATGTGATCTCCTTTTGCAACCATCTGAAAAGCAGTCAATGGGGAAACCAGATTCACTTAACAACCATTTTACATTTAACAAACTGCAGTTGTTCACTTAACAAACGTGGCAAGAGAAGTTGTAAAATGGGGCAAAACCCACAATAAATTTCAACATAAAATTGGAGCTCAATTCTGGTCGTAAATCGAGGACTTCCTGTATCTTAACATTCAGTTTAATTGGGATAATCGATTTACATGAGACTTTTCTAGTCTTTTGGGGTTTGGGGTTTTTTTTGGTTGTTATCATGGATTGCTAAAGAAGACTTGAAATTTTCCAGAACTGGTGTGGGGAACCAGGATCACTTAAACTTTGTCTGCCATTATCTCTGATCTCCCTGATAGTCGGAACTAAATGTCCCAACAATCTTGTTGAGTCTTTGGTTCCTCATCCCATCTCTAGAACAGCACAGGCAAGTAAGTGTGTGGAAGTACAAAAGTCTTCCTTTTATCAAAAAAGGATGGTCTGCTTCTGAATTAGGAACTTAATGTCAGGTTCTGAGTAATAGCAATAGCACTTAAATGTATAGACCACTTTGCAGGGCTTTCCAGCTCTGTCTAAGCAGTTTACAGAGTCAGCCTATTGCCCCCAATAATTTGGGTCTTCATTTTACCCACCGAGGAAGGATGGAGAGCTGAGTCAACCTTGAGCCTGGTGAGATTCGATCTGCCAAACTGCTGGCACCCGGTGATCAGCAGTAGCCTGCAGTACTGCACTCTAACCACTGCGCCACCATGGCTCTTCAACGCATCCATCACGAATTGTACTCTGAGGCCTTCCATTTTCTCAAAGTACAAATTTATTTGGATGCACCATATTGGCACTAATTGGTGAAAAGCCAGTACTAAAGTTCACTAAAGGCTTTTCACCCCAAAATAAGTTGCAGTTTTCTCAAGTTTCCAAAACAAGCTGTTACATTGTCCAACCAAGATGGGAACTGGTTGCTCAGCGACATCTGTCCTCCTCCTCCTCCTCTGGTCAGCCAGACATTGGAATGTGGTTGACTCATCAGTTAGGAATGATATTGTGACTGACAGCTCCATCCCCTCTCAACTCCGACCTGTGTCAAATGGAATTCATCTCACATCCCAATCAAATTGAGGCTTGACACTTATATTATTAAATTATAAGGTGCCTTCCCGATTCTGCATCTGATGCCACTTCTGATTTTCATAGAAACATGTCACGTGATCTTGATGTGAGCCAAATGGTTGAAGAGGAATCTTTTCTGGGGAAAATCATGTCATCTTAGATTTACCGTATTTTACTGAGTATAAGACACACCGGAGTATAAGACGCACCGTTTTGAAGGGGCAAATTAAAAAAAAAGTAGGTAGGTAGATAGAGGAATAGAGAGGGAGAGAAAGAGAGAGAAATACAGTAGGTAGGTAGGGAGAGAGAGAGTGTGTGTAGGTAGGTAGGTAGAGGGATCTAGAGAGAAATACAGTAGGTAGGTAGGGAGAGAGAGAGTGTGTGTAGGTAGGTAGGTAGAGGGATCTAGAGAGAAATACAGTNGATATTGGAACACTGCTATCATATCTCCCCTGGTCCTTTTCATTAAACTAGACATACCCAGTTCCTGCAACCGTTCCTCATATGGTTTAGCTTCCGCTCCCCTAATTATCTTTGTTGCTCTTCTCTACACTCTTTCTAGAGTCTCCACATCTTTTTTACATTGTGGTGACTAAAACTGAATGCAGTACTCCAAGTGTGGCCTTAGCAAGACATTATAAAGTGGCATTCACGGGATCTTGATTCTATCCCTCTGTTTATGTAGCCTAGAACTGTGTTGGGTTTTTTGGCAGCTGCTGCACACTGATGGCTCATATTTAAATGGTTGTCCACTAGGACTCCAAGATCCCTGTCACAGTTACTTCTAATGGACTCAAGAGACTTCATTGTTATTGTCCTAGGCCTTATGCATATGTGGGAGGGTGAGGATTTTAAATGCTGCCAGCTTCCCACAAGGAAACTCAGTGTGGAAGCCAGCAACAAGTTTGATGTCGCTTCATGTAATAACTGCAGCTAGAATTGTATTTACACAAAATTGGAAAATGGAAACAAAACCCTCAGAGGGAGAGGTAATTAAAAATATTAGACTGTGCAGAAATGAACAGATTAACATTGGCAATTAAAGAGAAGGAAGAATCAGAGTATTATAAGATATGGGGATGTTTTTATCACTGGATAGAAAATGAATATGGACAAAAAGAAACAGGAAATTGAATAGTTAATTCAACTCCTCCCCTATAATTCTGCATTCTTTTCCAAGTTATTACATTACAATTGAAATGTAAATGTAAAGGTAAATGGAAGTTAAAAATAGATTAAGAGTGGTTGGGGGGGGGACCTTTTCAAACTATTTACAAGTATGCTCAGAGAATTATAGCCCAAGATGTATTAGGGCAGGGGTGTCAAACTCAATTTCATTGAGGGCCACATCATGGTTGTGTTTGACCTCGGAGGGCCGAGGGCAGGGCATGCTCAGGGGGTGTGGCCATGGTTGGCATGGCATGGGACTGGGGGGGCACCTGTGGTGACCAAGTGCTAAGGCAGGACTTCCCTGAGATCCTCCCTCACTCTCATTATAGAGGTAATCCTTGAGTTACGGATGTAATTGAGCCTTCCAATTACTTTCTTAACCCGAGGATTTGTTTGATTGAATGAACCTGATCACTCCCTGCTTTCCCCAATGTATTTGTTAATCAATGTGCAGGTCATTGAATACACATGAGGTATCTCAGAGTGGGGAAGAGCATGTGGGGCCTAGTGCTGGAGCAGGCCTGAGCCACAGCACCCTCCTGGTTCAGGGATTGAGGCAGCGGCAGCAGTCAATCAATGAGGAGGTTGCTTCGTCTCATCGGGCTCAACTGGAAGCCCTTTGTTGATTGACTGCCACGCCCCAATCCCTGAAGCTGCTCATTCAAACTAGCCAGTCGAATGATTCAATCAAACTAATCCTCGGGTTACAAATGTAATTGGCAGGCTGTATTATATTCGTAACTCAAGGATTACCTGTATAATGAGAGTGAGAGAGGGTCTCAGGGAAGTCCTGCCTTAGCACTTGGCCACCACAGGTGCTCCCCCCACCCTGGGCATGCCCTGCCTCCGGCCCTCCGAGGTTGAACACAAGCCTGATGTTGCCCTCAATGAAATTGAGTTTGACACCCCTGGTGTAAAGGGAGAAAAGGAAAGAAAAAAGCACCAACTTCAGACTCTCTTTAGCACAGTAGAAGATAACATTACAAACACTTTTTCTTTTACATAACAGTATGTACAAGTCATTTCTATAACAATAAGCATATCTAGTTAACAAAAACAAAATCAAAGTTTCATATTTTTTTTCACTGCAAGCACAAAATTTGGAAGCAATTTCAGAATACGGTAGAAACAAGATTAGATATATTCTCTTCTTTGGATAAAAGAATCAATTTGACCATCTCTGCTTCTTTTTGCTGTGGGGAGTAATATATGCTTGTTATCTCATTAATCTTTATCGTAATTTATATTTTAAAAAATCCTTTATATTAGTTCAATTTTTTTTACCCCTAAGGGGAGAAAACACATTTTTTAGTTTTGATATTTTACTAACTTTAAAAAGTACTCAAGTATTATATATAAAGGAGAAAAAAAGAAAACCCTTCATTTTAAACCCAGAACCCAAAACACTACATTAGAGCTTTCATTCAATTATCGTATTTTTCGGAGTATAAGACACACGAAGGTTTTGAAGCGGCAATTTTTTTTTTAAAGTAGGTAGGTAGAGGGATAGAGAGGGAGAGAAAGAGAGAGAAATACAGTAGGTAGGTAAGGATAGAGACAGTAGTTAGGTAGGTAGGTAGATAAAGGGATAGAGAGAGAGATAGAGAGAGAGAAGGTAGGTAGGTAGAGGGATAGACAGAGAGAAATAGAGAGAGAAATACAGTAGATAGGTAGGGAGAGAGAGAGTAGTTAAGTAGGGAGGGAGGTAGAGAAAGGGATAGAGAGAGAGAAATACAGTAGGTAGGTAAGGAGAGAAAGCGTAGGGAGGGAGGGAGGGAGAGGGATAGGGAGAGAGAAATAGAGAGAAATACAGTAGATAGGTAGGGAGAGAGAAAGAGTAGTTAGTCAGGTAGGTAAAGGGAGAGAGAGAGAGAAAGAGAGAGATACAATAGATAGGTAGGGAGAGAGAGAAATAGAGAGAGAGAGAAATACAGTAAATAGGTAGGTGTTTCTGCTGGCACAGCACTTGATCAATGTAATTCTCATCAATCAGTTAAAGAGCTTTCCAAAAGGGGGAAAAAACGTTTTTGCACTCTGCAAACCTCCCAAAAACGGCCCATTTTTCCCAAAT